TTGTTATGTTTGGCGTAGGCTGTCCATGTCTCTGAGCCATATAGAACAGTGGATAAAACACGTAAATACAGATTTTCACTTTAGTTGACAATTTGTTATTGTTCCAGGCTCTGTCTTGCAAAAGATCAAAGTTCCTTGCTGCTTTGCTGATTCTATTAGTGAACTCAGCATCAAGATCTACGTTGCTGGTAACAGTAGAGCCACGATAGAAAAATTGGTCAAGAACATCCAGACGAGTACCACCTAGGGCTTTACCTGGAACTAGTTATGAAGAGCTTTAGTGCATAATAACAGTCTTCTTCAAGTTTAGTGCTAGCCCAAAGATTTTATATGACTCAGAGACATGGCAATGAGATGTTGTAGGGTATCAACACTGTGAGCCACAACAGCTCCATCATTTGCAAACAACAGGTTCCTTACGATGATCTCCTTCAGCTCTGAACTATGCAATGTTAAACAGTCTTCAGTCATGTCTAATGATGAGATAAACACTGTCTTGAACATCATGGAATGTGTGTTGAAGCAGGAATGAGAAGTAAATGTTAAGCAATGTGGAAGCTAGCATGCAGCCAGCTCTGTTGCTAATGTTGAATGTGTCAGACTCTTGGTTTTCATACATTACAGTTGCCTTTATGCCATCTTATAAGGATTACACAAGGTTTAACAGTATAGGTGGACCACCAAGTTTCTTCAGAACAGTGTAAAGTCCTGATCAGCTAACCATGTTAAAGGCTTTTGTTAAATCTGTAAAAGCCGTGTACAGTGGGATATGCTTCTTTTTGCACATTTCCTGCAGTTGTCTTACAGAAAAGACCATATCTATGGTGGACCTTTCTGAGTGGAAGCCACACTGGCTCCCAGGATAGATTATCTCAGCTAATGTTTGAAGTCTAGGTAAAAGAATATGGCTTAAGATTTTTCCCACAATGTTGAGAAGAGATATACCTCTGTGGTTATTACAGTCACTTGTGTCTTTGTTTTATAGAATTGGATGAAATGAGTATCCTTGAAATCTTGCTGAACAGTTTCTTCCTTCCAACAGAGTAACAATAGCTTGTACAATCTTTGCAGCAAGTCTTTGTTTGCACATTTGTAAATTTCAGCAGGTAAAGTCAGATTCTTAAGATTTGTTATTGGGGATCTTTTTAATGTATTGTTCAAGTTTCTTTAGTGTAGGTTTGGCATCCAGCAAAGTCATAACTTCAAACCCAGGCAAGTCTTCTAGCACACGTTAGTCTACTACAGACTCCCTTATGTATATCCTTCCATGATGCTCAATCTACCTCTCCAGTTGCTTCCCCTTGTCAGTAATGATGTTACCATCCAGGTCTTTCAACAGAGTTGTCTTGTACTTTGTTGGTCCAATGGCCTTCCTAATGCCCTTACACAACCATCTATTGTTGACTGCATCAGCTGCCTGTTGGATGTTGTTGCAGGGACTCGGCCAGAATTCTTGAGAACACCTCCTGGAAGCTGTTTGAACAGCCTTACAAGCTTCTCTTAGGTTGAGTGAATCAGTAGTAAAAGTAGACTTGCAGGTGATTAGGGCAGTTCTTTTTCTCTCAATGAGTAGCAGCAGTACTTCTGAATGGTCTACAAACTAGTCAGTGTTTTTCTTAGTATTCTTTCAAAAACTCTTAATTGCTGCATTGTACATACTTGTCTTCAGGACTTCCCATGCATCTGATGCAGTTTCATTCATTCCAGCTGACTTTGCTGCTATTTAATTGAAAAGCTATTTCTTGACAGGATCGTTTGATTTGCACAAGTCAATAAGAGGTTGTCCAGCAGGTTTATTACAGTGGATCTTCTTAGCTTGCAATTTCACTTTGCCATAGACAAGGCAGTGGTCTGTGTTACAGTCGGTGCTTTAAAAGCATTGTGTATGCAAGATATCTTTCAAGTGTGTATCTCTTGTCAGTACCAAGTCCAGCTGATGCCAGTGCTTGGAACTCGGGTGTCTCCGCAGTGTTCTTCTTCTGATGTTACTAGCAAAGAAGCTGTTGGTCACTGATGAGCCTTGACTTGCACAAAGCTCAAGAACTCTCTGACCGTTGTCATTGATATGTCCAATGCCATGCCTACCCAGAATACCTGGCCAAATCTCAGCATTGGACCCAAGTGTTGCATTGAAGTCCGAAGTACTAGAAGGGGTTCCTTCCATGGAATCCCGCCAATGAGTTCTTCCAGCTGTTGATAGCTGTCCTTCTCATCACTTGCCTGCAGAGTTGGAGCATAGAAACTGATGAGGTTGATGAATCCATTGTGTAGATTAACCGAAAGGTGTCATGGTACGTAGGGACACTGCAACTGGAGCTTCACACAATGACAGTTCATTTCTGATAGTAGAACTTACACCATGCTATCTCCTTACTCCTTCAGGTTTGCCATGCCAGTAAATGGTGTAGTCCTTCTCCTTTGTGAAGCCTGTCTGAGAGCCGAGTTCCCAGAAGAGCTGCAATATCCATTTTGAAACGTGCAAGCTCATTACTCCACACAGCCATTTTTCTCAGATCTGAATCAGATCAAAGTCATATCCAGGGGTCAAGTCCATGTATTCCAGCAAGCAATTCTGTTTATAAAATCAGTTGAGCCAGGATGTAAGCAGTGAGGTAAGGTTTGCTTGTCCCACATTTTCTAGGGCCACCCTCATACAAGGCAAGCAGGCCATCCCTAAATAGGGCTGCTTGGAAATCTTGGTAGCTGCCTCAGGTCCCTTATGCCTCTCTTGGATGCCTGTGATCATCTTACCAAGATCTTTAGCACATACACCTAGGCAGAGTTATGGAGTAGTGGAAGCTGCCATAGATCTACCATCCGCCCATTAGACCACTGAGCCAAAATCCAAAGGCCAGAACAAGTCTAGACATTCATTGACACAGAGGCTGCAGCTTCTGCCAGAGAGCAACTTGAATAGAGCTGCTAACTGCCTGCTGCTTCAGCATGAGCACCTTTTCTGTCAGGGCGAGGCCCTTTAGCCTTTCTTCAACCAAGAAGTGTCCACAAGGCAGTGGAGGATGCAGTTTAATGTCACACTCAGGACAATAAACTGTAACAACAAAGTAAAATAAACCAAATTAGTTTTCTTCAGCTGTTTTGACGATCAAGGTGTCTAACATCCCTGCATCCCTGCTCTGAATAGGCAATGCATGGCCACCTGAGCTGGAAAGGGGAAAGATCTAGCCAGCTTGCAGATTTTAAAAAGACTGCAAGCTGCATTTGGGTCGGTGCCCAGGATGAGCACCCTTTGGCACTGTTGTTTGGGACAGACAGAGAAAGGGAGATGGGGTTTCTATTGCATGTATTGAACTGTTTAAATTGAATAATGTGTTTCCTTGGGGTAAAGAAAAGAATGTTTGGGTTGGGGGGGGTAACACCCCCTCTTCAAGAGGGAGGTACAGTCTTGGGAGGGACTCACTTGTGTAAGGCAGGGGAGTGGGTGAGGTAGGACAACCCAGGCCCTCCTGTGAGAGAGGGGAGGAATGGGCTTGAGAGGGACAGTAAGGATGAGGGGAAGACTCTCCTGGATGTGAGGCATGAGACTGTACAGGGATGGAAAGGAATATGGGGAGGGGAATTTAATTTCTTTTGTGGAAGCATCAGATGTAGGTTAGGAATCAGGTTTGACCAGGCAAGGGCTGGGGGGAACACTCGCCTAGGAAGCAGGGGAGCAGGAGGGTATGAAGTGGGGTGGATTGTTTTTTGATTTGGAGGTTTGGGCAGAAAGGAGAATTTTCTTTCATTATACTTTCTCATTTTAAAATTTTATTTTGTTTTAATATCTTTCATGTCTTCTATTATAAGCTGACTCAAGCTTTTTTGGGGAAGGATGGCATCCAAATGAATATGTACAATAAATGAATGAATAGTAGCTTTATAAAATAAGTGAAACTTCTAACATTTATGTTCTCTCTTAATCTAAATCAATTAGTTAATAACAATTCGATTTTCTTGTTTTCAAATCACCTTTAGGTTTCTTGCACCCCATTTTATAACACAGGTTAATATATTTGGCAGTAACTGAGACTAGCTTATCACTTTAGGAAAAAGTAACTGCATCCATTTTTTACTGACTGGACTGCTGAAGGGAGGGGAGTAGTCTTGTTGGGAAATGAGCTGTAAATGTTATTCTTAATTTAAACCCTTTAGCACCAACAGTATATGCTGAATAGCCAGACTGAGGTAGGCACCTCTTGTCATGTTAATTTTAAACACACCATTTTTCTTTTTGATAAAATTGTTCCACTCTGTTCTTTAAGCTTTTTGGCCAGGTGACATAACAGCATGCAGGTTGCAGGTGATCCTGCATCAACCATAGTTCAGCAAAATATTTTAGAAAAGGAATATTATTAATCTTGGAGTGGGAAGAAGACTGCATATCATGCTAAATGCTCTGTAAATTAGTTCTGTGTTTCACTAGGCTTCCACAATTGTTGTGAAAGTCATTATTGCTCGTGGAAAAAAAAATTGATATGGAAGCTAAGAATCTGAGAGAGGCTGGTTGTTTTTGGAGCCAAGAAGAAAATTAAAACATGTTTTTAAGCTCATAAGGCCGTAACTCTCATTAATTTCATAACTTTCTTGTGAGGGTCCTTTACATTATATTAGCTTTGCAAAGGGGGCTTTTAAGTCAGTATCAATAACTTCAGCTCACTTTATGTCCCCTTTACTTTGCCAAAGTTGCATAAAAAAAGTCTCTGCAAATAAGAACCTGATCCATAATTTTCTGAAGTACATGTTTATTTTGATCACTGCAAAAATTCAGCATGTATTATTAAAGCTGAGATGATATTTTACAAAACTTATTCTGGTAATCTTCTAAAGGTTGATGCTATATGAGGAAGGAGTAACTGATGGGGAACAAGAGATTAGGAAATGAAGGGAAATTTTTATGTACATTTAAAATATCTAGTGTGTTAATAGATAAATCAAACAAAATTGTTGCTTACTAACTCTTGTGTGGACAGATGCACTGACTTTTTGATTATTTTTTCAAACAGAAATTTATAAACCGGAAGAAAAGAAAAAAATTGGAACAAAAGTCTATCAACATTCTTCTAAAAGCCTTCAAGAAAAACAGGAACTGATTACTCAAGCCAATATTGAAGCAGATAAACTGCCAGATTTGCCAACAACAAGCCTATGGAAAATGCAGACTACTAGTGTCCAAAATGTTTGTGTAGAAGATGTTGCCTCTCATTTTACTAATGAACTAAGGTGAATGCAAGCACCCCTTCCCTCCCTGGATTCGGAACATTTTACTATAATAGATTAACTTTTTAAATGAGGCTAAGCTCTTAGGGCATTTATACACGTACTTTTCTGTCTCGCAATGGTGCTGCGGCACTTGCGTGTGTAAAATGCCCTTAGGTTTGAGGTGGGAAGGGTATTGAGTTGTCAGTGGTGATGGTGACAGGATGGAGATGTCTTTCCATTTTCCTCCTCCTCCACAATATTCTCTCTCTCCCCCTCACCACATATTGTCTTTCATAATATCATCTCCCTACCCTGATACGTCCAGCTGATACAAGACCCACAACAAATGTTTGTTTACCACTGTAGGCTAGGGAAGTCATCCTTAGTGTCTTTTTATTCATTTTTAGGAGTAATATAAACTCCCGTCTTCATATAGTTACCAGTTGTCCAATGTATGCTATGAGAACTTTGGACTTATCTGCAGGATATCCCGTTCTTTATCTTTTCCTATTTGAAGTACTGTGACCATCTTATTATATTTAATTATCATTGCAAAGCAATTTAATCTTCAAAGCTGTTTTTAATCTTGCTGTTATTCCATGAAAGAGTCTAATTTATTTACTAGGCATAAGAGCTTTCAAAGACTCCTTAGTCACTTCTGAAAATAATGTTTGAGCCCCAAGTTCACTTAAATGCTTTTAAAAATTTTAAATCTTCAGTTGTCTGGCAGGGTTCACCATCAGTATTTAATAATGATCATCTTGTACTGGGGCTCTTATGTGCAACAGTCATGGGTCAGACCCCATCCTGATGGGCGCTGAATAATTAAGATAGACCCTGCCTCAAAGAGCTTGTAATCAAAACAGAAGATAAAAAACAATAGATGAAGACAGACATGGCTGGGGGTGAGTGGTATGAGGAAATGATGACGAGATCTTGCTTCTGAGCTTGAAAGGCAATATTTTGCTCAGTGTGCTAGCAGAATTAGTATTCTCAAGCTCTTTGTAGGCATCATGACTAAGGACAGTTATTAAGGAAGCTTTGAAGGTACCTAATGAGTGTTCTGCAGGAAGCACTTTCCAATCAGGTGTGGTAGTGTGGGAGAAAGCATGAAAGCGTTTGCCCACTTGCCAGATTTCAAACAACTGAGGCTGGCATCAATGGCCAATAAAATGCAAGAGGCATCTTTTCAATGCTAAATGAGAAATAATAGGCTGTGAAGGCCCTTTGAGAGTGACGACAAATAATTTGTTTGATGTGATAAGGAACGGGGGACCCAATGGATGGATGCTTAAAGAGAGGTGACATGGAAACGAGCAATGAGGTTGGAAAATGGTTTCTGTAGTAATATATCTTTTTTCTTTTTATCATAATTATTTCTAGGATTTGTGTTATATTTGGAAATAGCACAAAAAAGTGGATGATGTCCAGGGTACTAAATTAAAGAGTGTACAATGTTGTAGTGTGATACCTGCTCTAAACTGTGAAGGAGTTTGCCTTGGTTCTGACTTAAAAGTAAGATCTAAGTTATCTACAAATAGCAGGTGAAGGACAACAATATTTTTAAACAACCTTGCTTTGACAAGTTGTAGAAAGGCAGACTTAAGGTTTTGTGGTCATTGCTGTTACCACTAAAACCAGTTTCAATTCTAATGTCATTGGTTTAGCTAGAGAGTCTCCTAGCAGTGATAGCCAGAAAAGAATTTTGTGCTTCAAATGAGCTTGCCTCACTAGGGTTTAACAGCAAAATAGTCATTAAAAAGTTTCAGCAGTTAAGTCCATTCAGCGTCTTTCCAAAAATTATCTTTTGAACCCATTTTAACTCTTTTCTGTCTTCAGCTAAGTGATTTTTAGAATACTCTGGGTGGTAAAAAAAAAAAAAAAAAGAAAGACCTGTGTCTAAATATACTATTTGAAATAATAGAATCTTTTTTATCGATTTTGTAGAGGAGGAATTCCTTGGTCTCATCTCTGAATATTTTCATTTCATTTCATTTCATTAAGCATCGTCCATTCTCCTGAAAAATAAGCTTTCGTTTGAGCAGCAATTTGATCCTCAGATATTTCATTACTTTGTCACCGCAGGTTAAGCCCAGCTTTTTAATATTTACTTCCTTTAAGCATTTCCCATTTATAGGCTTCGTATCCTATTTATCTTAGTTTATTTTATATCCTGACATTTTAGTAAATTTGTTTATTATTTCAAATAGTACTAGTATAATAGGTTTAAGAGATGATAAAAAAGACAGCATGCATCTATGTGGTTATTTTATAAATTATAAATCTGAGATTGTTAACAAATAACTAGATTTTGTAAACTGAACGTGTAATGAATATTTGGACAATTTTGATCAGCATTTGATTAAGGTATTTTTGTTTTGTTTTTAACACAGATCTGCAGAACAAGGTGGCAGAGCACTCTCTGACTTTGTGACCTCTTGGAAGGATGCTGCCAACCAAGATAAAGAAATGAATATTTCATTTCTTTTAAAAGAATTGGACTTTGAGAGAACAAACAATAGAAAGGTACAATTGAGATATTCAAATTATAGTACTTGCTATTTTTCTTTTTCCTACTAAACCTACATTTTAACCTTTCCCAATTTTGGTGTACTATTTATTTTAGCAAATTAATCAATAGCTTCCTTGTCATTTGGACTCTTAGTATTTATTTAACAAATGATTCTTGGGAAGTAATTAATCTTTTATTCTCTCCTATGACCTTTTAAATCAGTGACATGAATTTCTGCATCATAGAGATGCAAAATAAGCAGATGAGTGGGATCATTCATTTACATTTTACTGGCATTTCATTACACTTGTGGAACCTGAAAAATTTGGAGATACAAGACTTAATCCAAAATCTATTAAAATTAATTGGAAAGTTCCAATTGCTTTCAATCAGTCATGGATCAAGGCTCACAGCGAACTTGTGTTATATAACAGTAGAAACTTAGTGCATCTCACTTTGGACAGGGAGACCAACTGTAGGTTAGAGAACTTTCTAAATTAGTCATTTAAGTAAGCACCATTTAAGTCATTTAAGTAAGCAATCACATATTTTGTGGTGCACTATCTCATTCATTAATTTGACAATAGCAAATTAAGTTATATTATGAGGTTATTATAGTGGATTAATAGTAAAAGTACCATGTACAATTGCACACAAGTAATGGTATTTTAGTAATATGAAATCTTCCTACAGGTTGCAACTACAGTATTTGTCAAGAGGGGAGAAAGGACAGTCTCAGAAGTAGACATGATTATGTTAAGCCCCAGTCCTGCAAACATGCAGTGTCTTAACTTGACTCATTTTGGTTATCTCACTGAAGTCATTGTAAACTTTACACATGCTGCCTAAGTATTTGCAGAACTCAGGGTGGAGTGAAGTTTTCTCTTTTTATTAGCATATTCAAATTGCACTACAATTTAATTAAATTACATTTTACAGCTGATTGACCTGAACTTTATTTCTTATTGTATTGTTCTTTCCTGACCATATTTGTCCAGGCTTTGTTGTTACTGTACCCTAATTCCCACAGAAGTTAGTCATTTAAACATGACCTCATTTCTATATCCCCAGGTTGAATGATTTGCTCTTGAATATTCTGTCTTCTGTGTGCTGAATCCCACCCATTACTTTGCCTAATAACAAAATTAAAATGATAATCAGTGTAAAATTTATTTTTAAAATTTATATAATTTTAGAACATACTTAGAGAACACAAGATCCATCCTCTACTTTATAGCGCACTCTATTTGAAGGAAACTTTGGAGAATGTGTACATTCCAAGTGCAGATCATTTTAACTCCCACATCCTCTGATTCTCTATTGTAGTCTCCATGGAAATTTTCTCTCTGGAATCTGGAGGATTCTGAGACTCTGAGCTTGTCTGGAGTTCTGAAAGTGTTTTGTCCTCCAGCTCACCACCATTCCGTGCTTTATCGGTGATATTTTAGTATCTAATGCCTCCAGCATCACTCTGCATGTCTTGTTTATTTGCTTTTCTGTTGTGTAGAAAGTACTTCAGTCTAAGATGGTATAGAAATTTAAATAATGAAGCATCCACATTATCAAACGGTGAAAATGCACTTTCCATGGCTTCTATTTTAAGCAATTTATGCCCATTCTTAGACACCTCAAGCAGACCATGCCAGTTCAGTATAACTTGCTACATGCTTATAAGCACAAGGAGAGATTTGTTTAAAAAACGCCCCCCAAATCTCCATGCTGTATTTCTAGGCCACTTCATTGGCAGGCCCTGATGCCACCTCATTGCTTTAATACAGTATTTTGGAGTCAAATCCTATCATCAGTGGCATCTGTATAGTTCCCTTTGTCAGTGAATCACATATGCAAAGCCAATGACAGATTTTGGCCATGCCATGATGTATTTATTTTATTATTGAATGACAACTTCACTTAAATCTCCCAAATAAAGACTCATAAAATGCCCCAATACAACACAGGCCCTCCACAAGCATCATTTTGGCATGCAAGATATACATGAAAGAATGTGCTACTCCTACATATTCCATCCAGTCGTTTCAGTTTGCTGAGACAACGTTGCCATGAAAGCATTTTCTGGTGACAATAGTCTGCGGAATGAGATGCATCACTCATCCCTTGTTGCTTCTGAATTTCTTTGTGCAGTATTGCCATGGCTAGCAACTTCTGAGATGCAGTATCCCAGATGAAAATGACACTAATGTTATCTGCTTTACAGAGCAGAGAAGATGAAAATAAGAGTTGAAGAAAAGGGTGTGTTTTTCTTCAGCAGTTGAAATCAGTACAGATTCATTAGACAACTGTTGTGTTCCTTAGTATTTGTTTTTCTCTGGAAGGAGGGGAATAATTTTGGGAAGAGGTGTATAATTTTATATTTTGCTGTAGGTTAATAGAGCTCATTGAGTATATTTACCTGAAAAGAATCACATTGTCCATTTGTTCAATTCAGCTTCAAGATAAGCTGGCTGAAAAGGACAAGGAGCTGAAGACAATAAAGCTGGACTTAGAACTACAAGAGAGAGCTACAGAAGCTAAGATTGCAGAAAAGACTGCAGGTACAGTAGGCAAGCATTTAACAGATGGTCATATAGATCATACAGTACCTGCGGTTGCTATATGACGTGGCCTAGTGAATGTTAGATATATTTGCTAAAGGAGGGAAGGTTTGACTTTTTTGTATGTGTGTGGCTGTTTAGAGTTGCCTAGAAAATAGGTGGCTTTAACATCCTGGTACTGGTATTAGTAAGAGCTTTACCTGTATTCATACTGATTTGGGCATTAAATGCATTGTTAACACCATGTCAATCCAATCACAAAAAGGTTGTTTGTTTTGTTGGAAGGTCCTGAACAAACAAGGGGAAATAATGATTACCAGTGCCTCTACCTTTCAACCAGCAGTTCAAATACCACTTATTGTTTTAGCTTGTTCAGAGAAATACTACCCCCCCTTTGTAGGGAGATAGTCACACGTTCACCTCAACTGGAGACCTGCACTTTACTTGAAAAATCTCTTCTTCTGGTAGTTAATGAATTTTTGTCTGATGACGCTGATGATGGTATATCTCCAGAGGATGAGGTTTATAACAGATTTCCAAAGTGAAAGGTTTTTAAAGTTGGAAGGCACTACTGGCACTACTTCATTGTAGTGATTTCTAATTTTGGGGTCCTCAATATACTATATAGATCCAGCATAATATTAATAGAGAGACATATAAATACTGTAATACCTAAAAGACAGATGACTGTTATTTTTCAAATCTTCCTCCATATGATTTAAATAGGACATGAACATTTTATGAATTACTTCACATAGTTTATTTTCAAGAAAAATTAGGGTTTTTAAAGTAGGTGCAAAGTGTAAAATTGCTACTTAATGTACATTTTTATATAATATTAATAGGTCAGATACCTGTGTCCAAAACACTGGTATGGAAGGGACTCATTATCGCTAGGAAAATAGTGGTGGAAAAGAATACAAATAAATGCTCCAGCTTAAAGACAATAAAAAGGATGGTTGACTTTTTGCTTAATGTGGGACTTGTAAGAGTGATCTACTTTGTGTGCCACAGATAGAAAAGAGGGTGCCTGGGGCCAGTTTGTTGTGGCAGGGGTGGAGCAAGGTTCTGGGAAGTAAAGTTTCTTTTTGACTAAGCCATCCTGTGCATAATCAGAAGAAATATATCTTCTGTATATACTGTGGTTACATCTTGATTATGTTGCTGCCAAACTTTTAGGCAAACGGTTTGGATTAAATTCCAGGTTATATGTTTGTTTTTGGATGTTTGCGCAGTGTTTTACTTCTGTGTGTATAATAAAGAAATATCTTATTCAAAGTAGATCTTCATTGCTTGTTAAACCCTCTGAAAAAATACCATAGATACAAAATATATAGTCAAATTCCTAACCATGAAGAAATAACTGTTGGGAATCGTTTTCTTTTTTTATTTTCTGATTATATTTCTAAATATAAGAATGATATCCTGTCCAAAAAGATATGGCATGAATAGTAGGCCTGTGCAAATGGGGAAGTATTCAATTCAGATTTGGCTGATTCAGAGGACAGTGATTCGATTCGGTGATTCGAATCACTCTCCCCATTTGATTCGGCCAAATCAGAATTGGAGATTCGGCGCCGAGTCGGATTGGCCAGGGAGAGCCAGGCACAGCCAGGCAGCTGCGGGTTCTTCCGTGGCTCCTCCAGCTGTGCCTGCCTCCCCTCAGGTGGGGAGAGCCATGGGAGAAGCCCCCATGACTGCCCTGTCCAGCCCCATCCCCCACCCAGCCCCAGCCTCCCAGCACTTAAACAAACAAACAAACAAACAAAGCCCTGCAGTCACCAGCTGCAGCAGTGGCAATCAGGGCCTCTGAGGGCTTGAGGTGGAGCCCTGTCCCATGTAGCGCAATGCAGTGAGGGGCAGCGGGGATTGAATGATGCAATAACTACTTTTGTGGCCCCACTCTCTTTCTGTCTTCTGCACCTTCTGATTAAAGTAGTACAAAATCATAGTGATAAATAATTGCTGAGAAATAGGATGTCTTTCTGTAATCTAAATGGAAGCAGAGATCATTAGTAACCTCTATGCATTGTTTACTTCTTGCTCTCTTTTACCAATATAAAAATTTCAGGTTGGGATAATTTGGAAATTTGGAGTTATCTGAACCAAACTGAATTTGATTCAGTGGAGGTTTGTGCATATCTCTAAAAAAAATAACCTAAGAAACTGATCTAGTAGGTAGTGAAAGGCTTTAGTAATGGAAATTTTAAGGAATTTAAAATTTAGGAAAATTATTTCATTTGTTTATGTTTAGTTATTTGAGGACGGGGGATATGAAATCCTAGCACTTTGTTAATGTTTAATTACTACTGTGTATGCACCTGGAAGAGTGAGGCTAATAAATATGGTTGTTTTCATTCTTATCAGCGGCAGTAGGAAGCCATAATAGGAAAATGACTTTGCAAAAGTATATAAAAAAACAGTATCACAACAGTACACCATAAAAAATTTACCATCTACTCCCAGAGACATTACAATTAGCTTCAGAAAGGTAACCTTCCAACTGAGAGGTTTTTTGCTCATTTAAAATTTGTGGCAGGACAAGAAAACATGGAGACAGAAGAAGAGGCTATTTTGAATTTTAAACTATCATAGATTTCAGTTGCAAATACCCAAAGCTTGTTTTATGGTCCTCACTTCTTGAAAAGCATACACTGCATAAGAAGGAATAAAGAGGAAGAGGGCAAATATCTGAAGGGCTGTAGGGCAGCAACAAAAGCAGAAGGAAAAATGGAAAGGAGAGTGATACAAGGCACTTGTAATTGTCTGCAATATATAATTAGGATATGTTGTCAGATAGGGCCTTCCTCTCTCCCTCTGTCCTTGCCTTATACCAGACTTTGTCCTCAGTTACCTTTTCTGTCCCAAGTATCTCAAGTTGTTTTTGCTGGGGTTTTGTTTGTTATGGTGGGATTGGTCATGTCTCCGCAGACGCACACACTTCTTTCTCCCCAATTTTGATTTGGGAGATGAGACTTAGACCAGTAATCCAGAAAAGGAAACAATTTCATCGGGGGGTGGGGAGAAGAGGGAAAGGAATAGACCAATATTTCTAAGCCCATACTGTCTAATAGGGGCAACCTGAAAATGCTGATTAAGCTGGTGATCAGCATACTGTTTCTGAAAAATGACTTAAAAACTACATTCCTTTAAACCAGTGGTTTTAAACCTGTGGTCCACAGACCCCTGGGGGCCCATAGGCTATGTGCAAGGGGTCTGTGAAAGATGATTATGATCAGTCAAAAGTATGTGAATGCTCACACTTACCATTCAAAAGGGTCTACAACTATATTCAAAATTTCCAAAGGGGTCTGCACCTCCATTTGAAATTTTTAGGGATCTGCAACTGAAAAAAGGTTGAAAGCCACTGCTTTAGATCAGTTAAGTAACTCATTCTTTTGGTCACAGAAATAGAGAAGTGCACTTCCCAGGTGGTGTTTTTCAGTGGAATGCCTATTAACTAAGTTAGAGAAAGATACAGAAGAGAAACTTTATGTAGTAGTCTGGCTTCTCCAGCTCTCACACTGTCACCCTAAATATCCTACCCTATTGTTTTTGGAGTGGACTTGGGACTTTTTTCTCCTGATATTTGCATTTAAGTCCTATATTTGGTAAACCAAAGTCACTTCACTATCCTCGAAAAGTGGCCTCACAAGCATTTTGCTTATAGAATGACTTCATGGCACCTTAAACAGTAAGTGTAAAGACATGGGGCAGTATGATTAGCAGGAACTTAGCACTGGATTGACTATTGCATTTTTAAGATATTCAAAACATGTAGATGGCAGGAGGCATGATTGTGCCTTAGATCCTATCATGCCTTATTGCTGGTGCAGGGGGAGCCTCACGCACCCCCACATCCGAGAGATTTCAGCAGCTGGTCTCCCAGCCATGGGGGTGCATGGGGTGCCCCTGCAGCTGGGAGATTGTAGCTGCTGCCATTTCCTAGCCACAGGGGTACATGGGGTCTCCTGTGGCTGGCAGCCCTGTTAGCTCCAAGGCTTGGGTATGCACATAGGCCCCTCCCAGCTGGAGGCTCCAATCAACTGACAAGCCATAGGGGCCTCTGGCCACACTTTCAGTTAATGGCATGATAACTTGCTAGCTGCTTCCTATTACACATTTTGTGGAGTAATGGTTGTAGCTTATTCCTCTTTTTATCACACCATTAATTGATTGATGTGTGGTTAGGTGAGCACTTAAAGTGTGATTAACTGGTTAAACATGCCTTAAATATAATGTGTAGATGGAGCCTAAGAGCCATGCCTCTCTGTATGAGGTAATAAGGTATTGCCTGTATGAATCAGCAAACTGGCTTAACCCTTTCTCAGAAGAATCAACATTGACTGATAGGGTAGACTGTTTCAACAAATACCATCAGCTTATTACAATTAACAGTAGAAACCTTTGCCCTGTATAAGATAGAATCATAGAAGATTAGGGCTGGAAGGAATCTCAGGAGGTCATCTAGTCCAACCTCCTGCTTACGGCAAGACAATCACCAACAAGATCATCCCAGCCAAAGCTTTGTTTAGCCGGGTCTTAAAAACTTCCGAGGATGGAGATTCCGTGATCTCTCTAGGTAACTTATTCCAGTGTTTTACTACCCTCTAGGGCTGTGCGAAGCTTCAGTTGCTGATTTGATTCAGCAGAGTTTTGGCCCAATTAAGTGGCCAAACCTCCAAATCTGAATTGAATCAGGAAACCATTTAATCTCTCCAAATCAAATTGGAACCCTCCGAATCAATTCGGAGAGGTTCAGAAAGATTTGATGATTCGGACATAGACACAGCTTTAAATGTTTTTTTACATACCTCAAGGTACCAGGGGGCTCATGAATGCTGAGATGATGGGGTGGATTATGGGGGCCCCGACACGCATTTCCGGTCCACTTCTGGGTCCACCAGGGAGTGCATGTGGGGGCCCCCTGTGCCTCCCTGGCTCAGCAACTGGTGCCTCCTGGGTCTAGGGGGCACCCAGGATCCCCCTGCAGCCAATTG